ATATGGGAAAGTTTGGGAAGTTTGGGAAGTGTGAGTATGATCGTTGCCTGTAGGATACAGGTTCGTCTCGTTCGTGGAACACATATTTTCTAAAATATTAGTATTAGAGTATTTACTTAAATATTTATATCTATAAGAATAACGTTAAAAACAAATATACTAAAATAATTGTTAGATTTAATCCATATCATAATATATATATCTATATATATCTATATATATATATATATATATATATATATATAGTGTAACCTGGTATAATAGACCCGGATATAAGAGAAACCGGATATAAGAGAGATTTTCTGGTCCCAAATTAGAGCCTGTGTTAATGTATATAAAATAGACCAAACCCGATATAGAAAACCCGGATATAAGAGACTTCTTCTCCGGTCCCGACAACTCTCTTATATCCAGGTTACTACTGTATATATATATATATATATATATATATATATATAGTATGTGTGTGTGTGTCTGTGTGTGCATATATATATATATATATATATATATAGTATGTGTGTGTGTGCATATATATATATATATATATATATATATATATATATATATATATATATATAGTGTGTGTGTATGTGAGTGTGCATATTTGTCTATAGCAGCCTGTATATAGCTATCTATGAATACGGTTTATTCTTATTAGCTTGTTACCGTCCGACCCACCTTCTCCTTGCAATAATTCCTCCCCGGCCAGTAAGCATACTTACTTGTCTATCTTTGCACATCAGTCTTTCGTATATCACCTGATGCAATGATCGGAATGCATTGAACGAATTTCCGATTCTTAGCTGCTTAGGAAGCCAAAGATAGGCACCAAACCATTTCTTTTCCCGCTGTCTCCTTACCACGTATCAGCGTCTCCGCAATTTCAAATCAGTTGCCAGAATTTCTGTACCTCCAATCAAATCCTCCCGCGCTTTGCTAGGATTTAAAACCAGAATGAACATTTGAAATTGTTCTATTGCAGACTGTTATCATGATCGGAATTTAGAGGAAATAATTTGATGCCTATAGAAATCTAATATTTAATATTCGTGCAAGATCGAAGGGACCGTAGTATCAGGCGCTTATCAAGAAAATGCGCCCCCACTTTGATTTATATATATATATATATATATATATATATATATATAATAAAGTTATTATGATCGTCTGGAAAAAACTTAGGTGTTTTGGCTTGTAAATAAAAAAAAAATCAATACACAAGTAAAAATAAGGGACAAAAAAAAAAGAACTAAGAACATGTAATTGAGGTAAAATGTAATCGTCCAGAAACGAGTAAAGTAAAAAGTAACTATATATATATATATATATATATATATATATATATATATATATACACGTTTCATTAAATAATATAGACAAGTGTTGTCTATTTATTTTATGTAATTTTTTCTCGTAACGTCTGATAAGTTTAATAACATTATCGTTGAACGAAGAAAGAAATTCACAATATTGATCCATATTTTTTAATACAATCTAAGCTTTCGGCTTACTTAAGCCATTATCAAAGATGTCAATTACAACATATTAAACAATATACGGACACGACAGTGATGATAGTCTGTACTTTTATGAAGAAATATTTTCTTAAGGTGTGCTATATTTATGGGATAAAGTGCTCAATATTAGAGATAGAGCGTGTGTAAATTTAAAAGTGAACATTGAAGAAAACACTTAAATGCGACAGGCTGTTTCATGCTAGACACAATCTTCAGGCCACCTTTTGGCCTGTCGATTGCGTCTAGCATGAAACAGACTGTCACCTCTAAGTATTGACTTCAATGTTCACTTTTATATTTATATTTATAAGTGTATTTATGTAGGAATTGATTTACTTGATACTTCAAATCGGTTTATACAAGAAAATTTAATTACCTTGACACTTTACCAGATTCTCCAATGAAAATGTCAAGACGAGATCCCGTACAGATATTTACGGGTAAGACACACCATGCCACAACCACGGATTCGAATCACTTTCGTTTCCTTTGTTACTCAGACGGTATCCTTCCCAAAACGTGTAAACTCTGTATAACAGACTCCTGCGTAGTTGCTTCCCTCAACATGTCTATCACGACCTCTCTATGTTGTCATATTTCATTCTTATTCTCATAATCTTCATTTTCTAATCAATTTCTCTGTTCGTACCACATACCTCTTTCTAAAAGAAGATTTTGATTTAAAACTGCTACCTTGAGTGGTTTTTATCGGGCGAAAAAAAGCCTTAATCAATATTCTTGCTGTCACAGCACTTTTATCTTTTTCGTTATTTTTAGAAAAAGTAAAAGAAAATATCTAATTCTTCCTAAAAATGACACAATGTATTTCATACTTTAATTTAGAATTATTCTATTATTTGTTTCTTTCTTTTTATGTAAGCAATCATGGCTCTCCACCTTCCTCTATCCCTTGCACTTCTCAACAAGTTTCTTCCTTTTGCTATCTCCTCAGACCACGTTCTGTCATCCACTTGCTTAAAGCAGGCTAGGTATGCCATGCATTGTTTATCTCTCTTTCCCTCTATTCGACCCGGGAGTATCAGATTCTCCAGGCCCTCTTTCTTCATTATATGTCCTAGAAACTTCAGCTGCCTCTTTCTGATTTTAAGTATAAGCCTCCTCCTTGTTTGCAACCTCTCTAAGACCTTATCGTTCCATGATATCTTTAACATCTTTCTGTAGAACCACATTTCTTTCGCCTCGGGTCTCTTCTTCATCCCTGAGGAAATCGTCCACCATTCGCTGCCGTAAAGGACAGATATCATGTAACAGCTCAGTATTCTTTTCTTTGTAACCAAAGAAATCCTCCTGTCTCACAATACTCTGACCAGCTTTAGGAATGTGTCCTTGGCCATCTCCGACCTGTAAATCATATTTCGGGCTCTTTCTTTTACTGATGATCATGCCTTCTGTCTTCTTGTAGTCTTCTTTTCACTCTCCTTCGCTACCTTCTGTACGAGGTTTTTTAATTTCTTTTCCGTGTCTGCTATCAGTACCCTGTCATCTGAATATCTTATGTCGTTGAGATTGTGGTCGCCAATGCTAAATAGCGATAGGGTTTCCAGTTCTTATAATTCTAAATTAAGTGAATGTATGGAAATTATATTTTTTGTCTATAGATATTTACCTTATTCGTTTAAACGTTCCCAAGTTAAAAAAAAAAAGAAATAAATTAAAAATATGTCGTAGAGTAAGCGATCTTTTTGAAACATAAACCAACATCAGCCTTGTATACAAAATCAAAACTGTTCAAATTTCCAATATATAAATGCATACAATAACCTCAGTTTACATTCCCCATAAGAGAGAAGGCTCTTCTGTCCGCATCATCGTCTTGATAATGATTTCATAAACTGTCTTTGCTTCAGATAAATTAGTGTCAAAGAGGGCGCTACCCCGAGGGAATTTGCCTTGAATATACAAACAACGAGCTTTTTATAAAATCGATTGCTTTAATATATACATATACACATTGACGGTGTCCTCTTGTTAGACCCAGCAAGACTATGGCTTTATGCCAGGCTATGCTTAGTTTATTTCGAATTGGGTGCTTGCCATGTACCAATGTTTAACAAACAAGTTTCCCCAAGGGAAAGACTTCTGTCTTGAAACAGGGTTGCCAGGAAGGGCAACTTTTAAAAGTCCTAGACAACTAAATTCTGAATGTTTTACTTGCGACATTTAAGGAAACGTTTAAAATAATGAGCCGGACGTCAATTTAAAGTTTACTAGCACAGGGCTTTCAAATGTCGGCCAAGTTGCTACTTGACAATCTTATATATATATATATATATATATATATATATATATATATATATATATATATATATATATATAAAGGGCTTAAACACTAATATTATAGTTTAAGCCTTTTAGTATATCCTTACTCTGTCCTGAACATTGAGTTCTACCTGGATTCTATCCTCTCGGAATTTTTTATTCAAAAATATACATGTATGTGTATGGACCTATGTATATATATTTATATTTTGCATATGTATGTGTATATTTACCACTAATATATATATATATATATATATATATATATATATATATATATATATATATATATATATATATATATACAGTTTATATCATTCTATCTGTCTGTCTACTTCAGTCTTAATATCTATCTACATGTCCGTTTGTATCTATCTATCTGTCTATCTATCTACTTCAGGCTGTTTATATCTATCTATCTATCTATCTATCTATCTATCTATCTATCTATCTATTGCAATCAGTTCATATCTTTCTATATCAGTCTGCTGATATCTATCTATCTATCTATCTATCTATCTATCTATCTATTCTAATGGAATTAGATTTTGAAAGTCATCTATTTTCCGTTTAAGCCTTATCTTGGCAAATCTGACTTTGCAAATATGTGTGTGTGTGTGTGTGTTCGCGCGCGCCTGTATGTGTGTGTTTGTGTGCGTTTGTGTATGTAAATGAGAGTGTGTATTTGAATGTGTGCGTGTGTGTGCGCGCGCGTGTACAGAGGTATAGTTCAAGAAGAAGGAAAACTCATAGTTAAGAATTTGTTTTCAATTATTTTGTGTATATTTTGGATCATTTAAAATGAATTTTACAATGGCACTACTTCCAGCTTCCATTATCAAAAGCTTTTGGGATTTTTCTGCGATGTCTGTTTCACGTCTCCACTTCATCAAATATTTGCACAATTCATATATATTTAACTATATCTATTGAAAGCTAGAATATGGCCCGTAATACAGAAAAAATGAATTAAATAAGAACGTACTGGCCATGATCAATTTCTTGATCATGGCCAGATGATGTGATCCCTCTCAGAAAGTGTATGTCCAATCAGCATAGTTACAACATAAATCGCAGCGTAGATTGCGTGTTTGTAATCGGGTTTGACTACCCGCGCTGGCAGTTGGGTGGGCACAAAAGCGAGTAGAAGTCGGTCATATATGTGTGGGGATATTTGTATGAAAAGTAATTATGTTAGTAGCATTAAAAGCACGGATAGATATGCGAGAAAGAGTGAGAAAAAGACAGATTAGAAAAGATAAGACTCAAACAAAGGAGAACACTGTCAAAATCTAATTCCATTAGAATAGATAGATAGATAGATAGATAGATAGATAGATAGATAGATATTAACTGACTGAAGTAGATATATACATATATATATATATATATATATATATATATATATATAGATAGATAGATAGATAGATAGATACTAACAGACTAAAGTAGATAGATAGATAGATAGATAGATAGGAACAGAATGGAAAAAAGAAAAAAAGAATTAAATTTATAGATGGATAGGATAGATAGACAGACAGACAGATATTATCAGACTGAAATAGATAGATAGATAGATTTTAATAGACTGAAGTAGATAGATAGATAGATAGATATAGATAGATAGATTTTAATAGACTGAAGTAGATTGATAGATAGATAGATATTAATAGACTGAAGTATATATATATATATATATATATATATATATATATATATAGATAGATAGATGAATGATAGATAGATAGATGATAGATAGGATAGATAGATAGGAAACAGAATGGAAAAAAGAAAGAAAAGAATTAAATAGATAGATGGATAGATAGATAGACAGACAGACAGATATTATCAGACTGAAATAGATAGATAGATAGATTTTAATAGACTGAAGTAGATTGATAGATAGATAGATAGATAGATAGATTTTAATAGACTGAAGTAGATTGATAGATAGATAGATAGATAGATAGATAGATAGATAGATATTAATAGACTGAAGTAGATATATACATATATACATATATATATATATATATATATATATATATAGATAGATAGATAGATAGATAGATAGATAGATAGATACTAACAGACTAAAGTAGATAGATAGATAGATAGATAGATAGATAGATAGGAACAGAATGGAAAAAAAGAAAGAAAGAATTAAATAGATAGATGGATAGATAGATAGACAGACAGACAGATATTATCAGACTGAAATAGATAGATAGATAGATTTTAATAGACTGAAGTAGATTGATAGATAGATAGATATTAATAGACTGAAGTAGATAGATAGATAGATAGATAGATAGATAGATAGATAGATAGATAGATTTTAATAGACTGAAGTAGATTGATAGATAGATAGATATTAATAGACTGAAGTAGATAGATAGATAGATAGATAGATATTAATAGACTGAAGTAGATGTATTTATATATATATATGTATATATATATATATATATATATATATATATAGATAGATAGATAGATAGATAGATAGATATGAAGTGACATGTAGGTAGATATATATCACAACATAACAGATATTGATTGGTGTAGGTAGTTAGAAATGCTTTATGGTAAGTCGAATATTGCTATTATTCCGTTTGCCGACTAAAATTAGGTGCAATGCTTGTTTGCGGATCGTCTTAAAGAATCGAAGTGGAATCTCCGATTCTCGGTTCTTTGAGTCTGGCAGCCAGACACACAGACAGACACAAGGATTGTATGCGAAAGACAGAAGTGAGCAGTAAACTCCTGAACGAAAATTGTTATAGGAAGGTGTATCATGTTCTTTGTATCGAGGTTGGTGGGGTCGAGTGTGGATGATCGATGGTGGATGTGGATCGGCCAGGGTGAGGTGAGTTGTACAGTCGGCTTAGGGCGGAGTTGAGGTGGTTGTGGGTAAGAAAATTACTGAAAGTGATTCACTTTGATATATATTACCTGATGCTGGCGGACACGAGAGAAAGACCACACATTCACCTCACTGTATGTGAGAGTTAGTCTCACTCTCTCTCTCTCACTCTCTCTAACTCTCTCCCCCACACACGCTCCCACTCTCTTTCTCCCTCCACACACACACATATACATCATTTCTTTCCCTTCTCTTCTTTGCTCATATCATGTACACCTCAATAGCTCTGTGTGAGCATTAGTATATATAATTCCATAGAACACGCACATATATTTTCATAAGCACACGTATATATTTTTTCAGAGATATATTGTGTGCGTGAATATATATTAAAAAATAAAAATTATAACACCCCCCCCAACCACCATCACGTGCTAAAAAGTGTGGTGAAAATTATCGTCCCGACCAAGAAGAAATATAAATAATACTTGGTCATTTGGTCAAACATCGGGGACTTAGTTGAACCAATAGGTCTTTAGTAACCCATCATGTATACAGGCATACATATATGTTAGTTCGCTGGTATATTTTAAGCATCATACAAATTTAATACAGTCACTTTCACCATAGGGTCAGTTTTAAACCCACTGGAGTGACATGGTGTAATCTATTTCTATTTTCACCTCAGATTAGGTCATTTGTAGTGGTGAGCAGTAATATGAATCTATTTTCGAGATGTATGATGAAATTTGTTTGGCCTTAAAAAATATTGTGTCATCCGTGATTGCATCAGATTTTCATCACGCACAAACCATATTGTCTCGACTGTCGATTAGTTGTCCTAAGGCCATTGCCAACGATGGACGTTACTTCAAGGAAACATACAAAAATTGTATCACTGCACGAATACACTAACAAGCGTTACCAGTGAGTAAATTAAAGTACTATAGACTGACCCGGAAACTCTCCTGATTTAAACCCAATCGAGAATCTTTGGTCAATCTGCAAGGAACGAATTTGTGGAATGGTCATACGAAGTACTAACAAGTGCTTTTGTTCATATTTCACTGCAAAAATACAAAAAAGAGTAAATAATAATGGAATTATTCGTTTTATGTCAATTAATTTGTATAAGGTGTATATATATATATATATATATATATATATATATATATATATATTAGGAGAATTGGGTACCTAAGGAAACAGCCTAAAATCCAAATGAATGCTGATATTTGTAAACGTAGCACAGGTGTAGCACAAGGCCGAAAGTATGGGGCACGCAGTGAGACTTACAACTTAGTTATTACTGTTTCAGCAAGGCAGATTTTCTAACCATTAGACTAAGTCGTGGTGTCTTCCAAAATCCAAATAAATGTTAACAGATTTAGGAAGAAACATATGTTTGCATTAAAAATACACGCACAAGCATATAAACAAGCGATACTTCTAAAAGACGGACATCATTTCGTGCAGATACGATATTTGAAAAGTAACGCAACTGACATACTTACAAATCGAAAACTCTTTAGTAATGCTTCATGAAAGAAAAAAAACAGTCCGCGGATTTCGGAAAATTTATATTTAAATTTACACTGGAAACTAGAAAATGGTTCAAAATATAGAAAGAAGATGTCAAAAATCCTTTAAAAATGAAATTTCATTGGTCTATATCCAAGCTTCTATGAACGGAAAATTACTGCCCATTTAGAGCTAATATATCTAATACATACATATATAGAACACACACACACACACACACACACACAAAAAAAAAAAAAAAAAAAACACGCTTTCTTGGAATTTAAACAGCGCGCTTAAACCAAATATATGGACTTGTGTGTTAAATTTGTGAAGCACTGTCAAAACGGGAGATAATATTTCGAAAGATATGGTGGAAAGTATGTACTGGAATAATTTTTTTTTTTTAATCCTTCTGCCAAATTTTGTGTAGGAGCTCATATATATCTATATATATATATATAGCTATCTTTCTGTATATATAAACAGATATATACGCATAGATAGATAGATAGATAGATAGATAGATAGATAGATAGATAGATAGATTATGTGGTTATAGGGATAAAAGCGGTATGATGACTGTCAGTTTCACACCTCAATACGATTTTCAGAAGTGCCACTACTCTTTTAGTTGGATGTATATATAGGTTATCAAGGTTTGTGGGAGAGGGTGTAAACTGACTCTTTCCAGGTTTTTCGTTTAGGACTAATACCTACATATCTCCCTTATTCTCATTACATCTCAATGACTTTTTTGATTATATATTTATTTTATTCATTTATTTATATATTTGTTTCTGTTTTTTGTTTTTCTTATTTTGTCAATTGCCTCTGAGTTTTGTTCTTTGCGCTAATTTGTATTAGCTTCCACTGATATCATGTCCAAAAAGACTAAACTAAATTCCCATATCCTAAACCTAATTACAAGTATTCCACTATTCCCAAATACAGACACCTACAAAGAAAAAATGCATGACATAAATATATATGAACAAATAAATGATATATATATATATATATATATATATATATATATATATATATATATATTCCAGGATCATTTTCCAACTTATTCAAGATAATCTTCGCCATCCCTAAGCATAAGCATTGAACTTTCTGTTCTGGAGAAACAATTTGCTTCACAGGTTTGAAGTACGATTTCATTGACAAGTTTTTTTTTCCCTGCTCTTTGAACTGTCATAGCTGAAACTCCTCTCTCACGTTCCAAAAGTCTTATGGATTGATTTGGACATTTACAAATTGATCTCTTTAGCTCAAAGTTGAAATGATAATCCCTCTTCATGTTGTGACATCCTGATCCAGTTTTTCTCTCTGGTGTTCTGTTTTTTGAATTTATTCCCCATTCTCTCGATGGTTCTTGAATGGACCTTGAAGATTAAAGTCAGAGGTTGAATGTTGGTACCATTACGAAGCTCTGAATGATCATTGTCCTCTCACCATATATATATATATATATATATATATATATATATATATATTATGAAATGGACAAAATCCGAAAATTATTTTAAGACATTTAAAAAGAATGTATAAACATAATAATTGTCTGACTTTGTTAATCGAACGCTTCTCTGTGGCCAAATCGGTTAAGGCACGTCAAGCTAAATGACAGTTCCGTATAGAATACAAGTTCGAATCCTGTCGGAGGACGAATATTTTCTGTGAAAATTTCTCGGACATACAGGCCGGTAAATGTTGTTTAATTTTGTTTATTATAAACAGAGCATTTACTTAAATACTTGTGTCTATAAAAATATATATATATATATATATATATATATATATATATATATATATATATATATATATATATATATAAAAATATCTTAAAATAATTGTCTGACTTTGTCCATTTCATAATGTGTGACGTCATTTGTTTATATTTGGATACGTATTGAGCAGATATGAATGTACGTGAGAGATTCATGGAAGATTGAAGTTTAAAGACAAAAAATTCAATCTTGCTAATCGAACGATTCTCTGTGGCTAAATCGGTTATGGCATTATCATTCTATATGACGGTTCCGTATAAGATACATCTTCGATTCCTGTCGGAAAACGAATATTTTCTATGAAAATTTCTCGGCCAGTAAATGTTATTAATACTGTTTATGATAAACAAAGCATTTACTTAAATATTTGTATCTATAAAAAGAATGTATAAACATAAAATTGTCTTAATATATATATATATATATATATATATATATATATATATGTGTGTGTGTGTGTGTGTGTGTGTGTGTGTGTATGACTGCCATAAAAAGACAAAAATTATTTTTATTATCACTCATGATGATAATAGATAAAAGGTAAAACTGAAAAACGGGTTAGCTAACCGGTTTCAAACCTTGCTCAACAGAGCTAAATTGAGGTTCATAAATTAAATAGAATTATTACTAAAAATTATGGACAATATATATTGAAAAGAAAATATTGCTTAGATGGAAATTAGTTTGAGGCCCAGTCCGAAGTCCTTGTTTGCACAGAGAGGGCTTCAACGATAAAATATATATGGCCTCCAACACTTTTAAGTGGTAATTCGAGTGGGACTTGCTAAGAATGGTAAATGAGTCCACACTGAAATTAGTGGCACAATTAGGGTTATTTATCAGGTGCCCTGCGATGGAAGACACATACGTATTGATCAGAATATCTGAAAGAGTGTACTTAAGATTGTGGCTTTTATTGTTAGAACGTGTAGCTTTATTCTGGTCTTGACTAGCTATGTCCTGCTAAGACAAGCTTGGTGCTTGATCCCTGAGGGCTGGGTAAATTTCCCACGCTAATTAAGCAACCTTGTGTCACAACCTAATCCAGTGGGGGAGGGGGGACTCTGGTAAAAACCAAGTATAAATTGACTGTAAGTATTAACCGTAATCAAATAACCAGGTAACACCGATCTCCCAAAGAATTTAGAAAACTCACTACATTAGTAGTGGCACTTGATCTGAAGATTCTACTGAAGCTTGAAAATGAGTCATTATTAAGTGATGTTTCTCATGCAAACACTGTCTATATCTATGCCAGATACTCAGCGCTTTTTCACTAAAAATATAGCAAACATTAAAAAATACATATGAGAAAGTTTTTGTTTGTTTTGTTTTTTTCCTGTCATATGTCAGCATCTAGCTGAATTACAAATTGATCAACATATGTAACATTTCACGAAGAATCTACTTTTCAACGTTTTAGCTCTCGAAAGCAAAGTTCTATTTATTGATGATGTCTAAACGTAAAGAGGTAAGCACTTGACAACACAATTAATCGTATTGACAGAGCAGAAGTTATTTTATTAATAGAAACAAGTAGTAGTAGTACTACTAATAATAATGATGCTTTCTAGTGGCCTTAATATCTTAATATATTTATTCATTTCACTCACTAAGTATTTCAATAAAATGTTGTGCTTAAGGTATATTTGAACATTTCAAATTATATATATATATATATATATATATATATATATATATATATATATATATATGAGATTCACTATAATTGAGAGAATAGAAAAGTTCAGAGCAGATAACATTAGAAAGATCTTAGAGTCCCATGAAAATAAGTGGATACAACGTCTAAAACACAATACCCAGCCAAGCGAAATCATAAATTTAACAATATATAATAGTAACACTCAACAAATCAAAACCTACCCACATTTCTCACCCACACAAGACAGACATGCTTAAGGAGGAATGGAGGCCTCACACTTATACACTCACCCACACGATTATACACACGTACACACACCATACCACTCACTCCCTAATGAGCCAAAATGATAACACACACCTACAGCAATACACACGCTTACGCATATACTCACTCCCCTAAGAACCAAATAACACACACACAAACACTAAACAGAGACACATCCCCTCACCAGGTCCAATAAAACTGTCAAACTGACCAGAGAATTCAGGATAAAATGTATCTTATCCAGTTCTTATCTCAAATAACAACTTAAAAAGAGACTGTTTGACCAACACAAGGAATGTTAAAAGATTCATGTGAAAAATAAAAAAAAAAAAAACAAATGAAAAACTACAGACAAAAAGTTCATTTTCTCCAACAAAAGACATTCATTTCTGTAGTTCACTGCCAACAGCAAGCAGAAAATATTTCTCCTCCCGATGATGGCCATTTCGGTCGAAACTAGTCGAGGAATCTAAATGGAATAATAATAATAAAAAAACGAAAGAATATTAATCTACAACCCAGTGTGTCTAATGATTTTAATTTTTAATTTTTTATTTTCTTATTGTTCAAAATATATATATATATATATATATATATATATATATATATATATATAAGTTATGAAGAACTTGGTAAACCATATGGGTAATTCCAAGGAGGATGAAATCCTGAGAGCTCAATGTAAATCCAGAGCTAATATTTAATGAAAAAACCGACCACTTTAAGGTACCATTACAATAATTTATTTCAACAAAATCCTTTTAAAGGACTCCGGATCATCAGGTAACAATTCCAACAACGAAATGAAACGAAAAATGAGATTAAAAACTGATAGGTAGTGTAAGTTTTTGTAATTTAACAGTGGGGGAGGGGGATAGTTAAAGAGACAAGATAGAGTATAGGGAGGGGTTAATTTCATATCTCTCTTAAGCGCGCTTTATATTTTGGTGAAATAAATTATTGTAATGGTGCCTTAAAGTGTTCTGTTTTTCATTAAATTTATATATATATATATATATATATATATATATATATATATGTATGTATGTATGTATGTATGTATGTATGTAGAGTGTATTGGGGCATCTATTGCTAAATATAACAGACAAGAAATGTCTATTATGTTTGATCATGAGCTGTTCTAAGCCTTGTATAGTGGTTTTAGTTTCGGGAGAAAATAAAGACAAAAACTGTCCTATATTTGTATATTGCTGTAATGTCCTCATAACCACAATGATGATGGCTCATCAGACCCGAAAGAGTAGATCGAAGAACAGCGTAATAAAAATAAATCCAAATGTTGGACAATTTTTGTCTTAATTTTTCCTCGAAACAAAATGCCACGATACGAAGCTTAGAATAGCTCATTACAAACCTAATAGACATCCGTTGTCTGTTATATTGAACAATACATGTTTGAATATATATATATATATATATATATATATATATATATATATATATATATATATATATATATATATATATGTATATATATATATATATATATATATATATATATATATATATATATATATATATATATATATATATATATATATATATATATATATATATATATATATCCAGGAAATAATGAGCAGCTCCGAACGAGTCTGTCCAAAAATATCCAACTGGCATAAAATTGTTCAGTGCCATAAGAAATGATAGAGCTGACTGATGCTTATGTGAATGCACATGAAACTGATAGTTTGATAGTAGTAGCCACTTACAGTCAAACTAGTTTTTAATATATATATATATATATATATATATATATATATATATATATAACTGTCTATATTTTTGAGATGAATTATTATTTACATTATTTACATTATTCGGACTATTGTCCTCATCTTTGTCGCCATATTTATTACAACGTTTCGGCCGTTGTACGCTCCGGCATTCTTCAGGTGGTTGTAATGTCGAACGGAACCCTTTATTTCGCTCACTGGGGTAGACTGTTCTAGTTACAAGTGTCATGTTTAATAGATGTCGGCTATAAGATATCTCCTGTTAATTCCCCTCCACAAGTTCTCCGCTGCCTTAACCGGGTATTGAACTCACATTCTTTGGGTCCTGTTACTGGATCTAACCAACGCCTTTTCCCACAGTGCCATGTATCCTCAAGGACACATAGGATGTGGATAAAGATGTTTTTTTCTGTTTTTATTTTCTTAAATCGCGCTCTTCTCTTTCTCTTTCTCCTCCTCCTTCTTCTTCTTCTTCTTCTTCTTCTTATTATTATTATTATTATTATTATTATTATTTGATTTGATTTTTCTAGGTCCCGACTTGAGACCTTTCAGAAATGGTTTTGACAGACAGCAACTGAAAAAAAAAACAATGATATAACACATTTTTTACATAGATAAAGCCGTTCGTAAGGTGTGGGTTATACCCGTGAGAACATTTTTTTGTGTATTTCTTTCAGGCATGGGCTTCCAGTAATCCCTTCAGTGAGTCTAACGGAATCTTTTCCAACTAATCCGAAGGTTCCAACTACAACTGAGAATTTTGATGTTTTCATGTACCACATTTTGGAGATTTCGATTTCAAGATCCTTGATTTTTGATAGTTTTTGAATATCTTCAAAGACACATTGCAGTCTGCAATGAGTGCCATGTTAATAAGGAGGCAGTTTTTTCGTTTGCCGTCTCTAATAACGATGTCAGGGCGGTTAGATTTGATTATTGTGTTTGTATGTATTGTGTAGTCCCATAAAATTGTTACAGGTATTGTTATGGTATTTGTTAGTAGAAATAACAATAAAGTACAAGAGAGAACGACAAGACATGTTAGGCTTACAAGGAAGGAAACGCTCTGTCCTGAAAACACAGCGACCTCTTTTATTCAAGGAAGTAACTGGCTATCCAGGGAAGGTAACTCATGTCATGACAGGTACTATCTCCGTAACCGGGTTTGGGTTGTGTTGATACCAATTTCTTTTAGTTTTCTTTCCTTATTATTATTATTATTATTATTATTATTATTAAAAGAATCTTTATAGTGGCAGAGGCCTTACTTACTAAGCGATATTTTTTTTATACAGACGATAGTCAATGAACAATGGTTCTTAATTAAGAAGAAACGAAATAAAAGTCCAATCATAGAGTTTCTAATTTTGGAAAAAATAGTTCTTTTGCTGCTGAAATTTCCGCCTTTTTGTAAATAATTATTTGTACCGAAAAATCTGTTACATTTAATTTTTCGGAGAGACCAATATTCTTTCGTAAAACGTCGAGAGTAATATGGCTTTATTGTCTAAGCCGGTTTTAGAAAGAACTAGCTGACTTTTTCGGGGCACATGAGAAAGAATGAAGACCTGGGGAATTTAAGCTAACAAGACTTTTTTTTCCTTCAAAAATATCCATAATGAGAAAATAGAATTTTTTCTTAGAAAATGAGTAAAATCTGAAGGAAAAGTGGGCGAAGAATTTTAGCGAATGTTTTTAATCTGTAACGGTCAGTCATATATTGGCCAGATTCATCCAACGTTCGTATCGATTGTTCTCTGAAAGCGAAGTAAACTGTCTCGAACTGTATTCCCAACCCCCCTTGTTGCAGTCGTATGCATTGTCAGATTCCTTATGTCTGTCAATTAGACTTGCTTATAGCGTAACCGACTCACTGATCCGTTCATCATAATCTGGAGATTCGAAGAGGAATAATGACTGGTGCGCGGTCCGGTCGGTAAGAAGCGAATGAAACAAAGATTCCAGTTTTGACTTCCATTAATAACCGAAGAGATTCAGCGTAAGAAAAGCAGCTCAGCTCTCGATTCTCGCAAAGAGAAATGGCAACTAAAAAGATAAGCAGCGAGAAAGAAAAAAATTATTTAAAACCTACCGAACAGAGATACTGATTGAAGACAGTCAAAAAGGGTGCGATTAATTAAGAAAACCTGAAAAAGACAGAACAGACGAAAACTTATTGTCATGTCATGTACATAGTAAAATCTCCCTTGGGAGGACGAGTAGACAGAATATATATATATATATATATATATATATATATATATATATATATATATATATATATATATATATATATATATATATATATATATATATATATATATATATATATATATATGCATGTATGTATATATATATATATGTATGTATATATATATATGTATGTATATATATATATATATGTATATATATATATATATATATATATATTTACTTATTATAAAATGCAGATTTTGTATGTGTGTGTGTCTGTACGTTTATATATTGGATCGGATTTCCTACATTTTTCAACCGATTTCAACAAAACTTCACAGGACTGCGTAAAATTACCTTGCAGTGGTTCTGACAGTGCCAAAAATTAGAAAAAACACAATTGTTTTTGCATGAAATCAATTTGAAAACACGATTCTGTTGCCAGAATGAAAGGGGGACAACTCATATCGAGTTATACTTATTATAAAACCCAGGTTGTTTGTGTGTGTGTGTGTTCGTTTATATATGGGATCGGATTTCCTACGTTTTTCAACTGATTTCAACAAAACTTCACTTTTTGGGGGCAGGTAGTGTTTCTTATTGTCTTGCACACTTTTTTCTTTGTTTTTACATTCAGAATGCTTTAAAAATTCCATTTACAAGACAATTGTTTATAATAAAATTCTATTCAATCGATAGACTCATAACGATTGAAAACAATGTTTTTGTTTGAGTTTAGGTTTGACCAATTCGTAAAAAAACAAAAAAAAAACTAATTAAGACATGCGTGTCCGTCAACCTTAAACAATAATCTTTGTCAATTTTATTTTTCAGTCTTTATGATGGTCGATACTTGATCAATCTCTTACTGTTACATCCCCGGGCAACACCGGGCTCTACTGCTAGTATATATATATATATATATATTATTATTATTATTATTATTATTATTATTATTATTATTATTATGTCTTTATTGATTGAATTTCTTCAGGATATGTTAAGTAATTTATTTATGTATTTCGCCCGAAGAAATCATAGTATTGAAACATGAAAGCTTTTGTATAGCGATTCCCAAAAATATAATAATAATGTTATTGGTCCATTTTGTAGTGAGCACTTTTTAAAATAGTAAATGATTCGAACAGTGGATTTTTACTTCATCTGATCTTCCTCTTGTATATATATATATATATATATATATATATATATATATATATATATATATATATATATATATATATGTGTGGTGGGTGTGGTGTGTGTGTGTGTGTGTGTGTGTGTGAAAATGTATATAAATATAAATAATTATTTATATATTATATGTACGGTACTTATTAGAAAGCGCTCAATATCAGAGATAGAGCTAACATATTTGGTTGGATAGATGTCAGTGTGTGACCCTGGGTTTCACGCTTTAGCGATCGTCAGACAAACTGATTAATGTTTTAAAAAAGTTGGGTTTATGTAGATTGCGTGTATTGGTGTTATCGTGGAATTGTTGGGGGAAATTTCGTCGTTTTGTCATTCATAGTACGAACGCAAACATCGTTATATGCAGACATATACATACTTGGTCGTCCGTCTGGACTCATACATATATAAACATATGTGGGCAGTTTCGGCTATGACACATGTATGTATACGGGTGGTGTTATGTCTATACATACACATTTGTATGTTGAAATGTTGAAATTTAAACATTGGAAGTGTGGCGAAAACTTGTTCGAACACAAGAAAAATTAAATAAAAAGCTTAACCGCACTACTGGGTTTCTTGTCTTTAATGAAAAAATTCAAAAAATCTTACTCTCTCCTGGAAATTGAGTTCTACCTGGATTCTATCCTCTCGAATATATATATATATATATATATATATATATATATATATATATATATATATATATATATATATTATTATTATTATTATTATTGTTATTATTATTATGTTTTATTATAAAAAATTAGTATAAAAACATTTTGAAATCTCTACACAAAAGTTGTTTAAAAAATGTTTCAAAACTATGAACAGTGGATTTTTACTCCATCTATCTGATCTTTTTTTTTTATATATATATATATATATATATATATATATATATATATGTGTGTGTGTGTGTGTGTGTGTGTGTGTATGTATATATATATATATATATATATATATATATATATATATATATATCAGAGAACATTGCGTTTTTAGGCTTTAAATTGAAATCCTATTTTTCACGATTGTTTATGTCCAGTAAATCATTTGTTTCCCATTTGTCTTTGTGACTTTCTCATTTCTGCGTGTATTTCTCCTATAAAGCTAAAAATAGAGGAAAACAAAGCCGGAAAATTGAGCCCGATTTAAGTTAAGTACATTACTGCATGAACAAACGAACGTTCGATTTGATTTCGATCAGCTTCTAAATAAAACAAAAACTGCGTCCTCTTCGATTTTAATGAACTAAGCAAATCCTCTCCATCACTCTCTCATATTTGATCAGCTTGAATGAAATAGAGGGAATCTAAAAGTAGGAAGACTGCTTTGTGGCGAACTCCCTAGTATGGCGACTCTAACATTGAAAAACAATTGTATTGGCTTTATCGATTGTTTGACCTCTGACTTCTAGTACATATACCCCTGTCTCCTTCCGCATAAATATACATCATCCTTATTATATTTCTTCTAAGTTAAATCAAATTTCTTAAGGATTTTATTGTCAGAGTTAGGTTATTCTAATCCCTGCGTCCACCAGGGTCATCCACGAGTGAACTGGTTCGTCTAAGGAGTAACACTGAGGACCGGCCAGCCGAGTATCCTTTGTGCCATCGCAATATATTAATATATATATATATATATATATATATATATATATATATATGCTTAACCGTCTTTGTGCACCACCTGATGAGGTGCTTATATTAGGAATCGAAACAAATATGCATTTTTGTAGTGATTAATTGGATTAATTGTTTGTTCTCATGTAATAACTTATAAAAAAATAACTATTGCTCTACTTTTGTATTGAGCTCTCTTTTAAATTAATGTTATGAACTTTTGAATTTATATTCTTTTCGTTCTCATCACCTTTGTACATATATATATATATATATATATATATATATATATATAGGATTAAAAAATATGTATCAATATTGTGATTTTCTATCTTCGTTTAATGATAATATTATTAAGCTTATCAGACGTTATGAAAAGAATTAACATAAAATAAATAGACAACACCTGTCTATATTATTTAATGAAACATGTATCAATATATATATATATATATATATATATATATATATATGCATTTCATTGAATACGACAGACAAGTTGCTTTGATTTAGTTTTTTATACAATTTCACGTGCAATTCTAATATTTTTTTTTCTTTTCAGATGATAAATTATATAAAAACTGTCGAAATGTACTTTTATTCGAAAGCTTTCGGCCATACATTTAGCCATTTTCAAGGATTAAATATTTTAAATGTTAAATAAGGAATGGTTTGTTGCATGTATGTATTTATATAATGTTTTCATTTTTCATTTTTCATAACTCGGTCAAGATATTGCTGCCTAAATTCACATACACATACATACATACATACATACATACATATATATATATATATATATATATATATATATATATATATATATATATATATATCGTTAATGGCTGGCCACTTGTATACGAGGATATCTGTCTACTAAGACGGCTAGGTAATCCCTATTGCAGACGCTTACTCAGGCTCATTTTGTGTTTATTCAACACCTACACAGCCCACATGTGGTTTATACTGCAACTATGCTGAGCAGACCTTAGTTACAGTTTCTGGGAAAGAACGTGTTATCTAGTGGGATCAACAATCTGAACAAGGACTGCACGCTGAAAACCTCGGCCACGATGAATTGTGACTTCGTACTAGCTTAGCCCTCGATAGCTCCCAATATGCCGCGTTTATCCAGTTTCACACACAATACTTGGGTCAACCCGTGGTAATGATGCTGAAATGTCGATCATTAAAATTAATCGACACAAAATATCTGCCATTTTTAACAATATGTTCCTTAAAGAACTGTTGCTGCCTAAATACACGGAAATATCTATGTATCTATGTTAATGTGAGTATAGTTTTTCATTTTTCTAATGCCACACTGAGATTGATTTTCTCGCCAGCATCGTCTCAGTTTTCAATTCAAGCAAGATTGAATTTGAATGGAGGGTAACTTATTTTCTCTCTGATGACAGGTTATTTTAATAAAGGTGTTATTACTGTGATTTCGTTAACCACTTTTCTCGCCGCGCGGAAAACATGATAGAAATAACAATCACATCTTCATAAATATATCAATATATATATTTGCCTTGGGATATTTTCAACTATTTACTCACAACGTGCCGAAATTTGATGATGCCGTTAAATGATGATATTTAAGGTCAGTTGAACAAAATGAAAAATGAAAAATGCCTTACGTAAATTTAATTCTATGTTCGAAATATCAGTGTTTCTTATGTCATAATACGATAAATACAGTAATGAGCAGAAAATATAAATCAGCTCGCCAAAAAATCATGCTCAAATTTTATTATTTTTTAATGTTATTATTTCTTAATTTTTACTATTTCTTTAAT